TCAAAACTGAAGATAAAGTTTCCTTTAAAGAGCCATCCTCCATCAATTCAGAAAATGTACACACATTGAATATTTTCCTTGCACTTTAGCTGCAAGATTAGAGGACCATACACAGCACTTAGATGACAACTTTTCAATAAAAATATAGCAATACTAAGCTAATGCTTACCTGGTTTGAGAACCTCATGCTGACATTGCGCTGGTCCTGGGGAGGTACGTACCGGCCAATAGGGTCGAGATCTTTAGGACTCACTAATTTATCAGCTGAAAAAAATGAGAATAGAAATATAGAATGACTTGAGCACTTTCTGCAGGTTTTGTGAAGAAGCCATGTCAACTTTTGTGTTGTAGTTGGTTCTGCTTTGTTTTAGATCAATGACTTATAAAAGCATATTCTGAAAAACTCAGAATTCTATTAATTTTAAAATGAATGACTCAAGCTTTGTTCTTGCTACAGCTAATTACAGCACTGTAGCATAAAAACCCAAGCCTTTATTTGCTCACAAAGATATGTTAATAGATTATATGCAGACAAAAGACTCCACAACACAAGTCACTTAAAAAGCCCTTAATCCATAACCATGGAACAAACATTCATAAGCCATTCAAGAGCTTTAACTATAAACTCAATGACCAGCAAAAATTCTTTAGCTTTGCAGAAAAACAGACAGTCTCTATCTCAAGGTAATCACATGACTGGAATCCTGGAAAGAGCAAGAGATATCAAAGGTACCTCTCAATAGGGTAATTCAGGAAGAAATTGTGAAAAAACCTAATTAAAAATATTTGAAATCTAGCAGTTTCTACATGGAGTTTTTTTACATGGGCAGGAAAAACCCCACCAAACCCAAACCCCCAGTATTTTCACCTTCTCCTGAAAAAGCACTCCAATAAAAATACACTATTAAAAACTTTCAACAAATTCCTTGAATAGAGGTTTATAATCTAGTATGAGCTATTATACCTTTAAAATAAGCTTTCTCCTGCCAAAATTGTATTTTGACAGGAAACTGTCCAAACTCGATCTAATTTCTAACACAGAGTAAGTCACAATACATTTTCATTTCTTCTATCTCAAAGTCAACAATTTTGTAGCTATTCTTAAGAGCCCCAACAGAAGGGAATAAGGTATTAATTTAAACCAGAAGTGACTCATGGCTGCACAAATCTCTGAGAGAAAACCAACACTGCCTTGATCAGAATGTGTCTGAGCACTACACCATGGAATAAATGAAGGCAGCAGCTTACAACTCAAAATCTGCCCTGCCTGGAGGTTGCCTGGGCTAGGCCAGCTCAGAGTGATGGGGCAGTGGGGAGCAAACCCTGGGCAGCACTGAGGGGCCCTGGCTGGGCAGGACAGGGAAGCCCTGCTGGAGCCTTCTGCTGCAGAGAGCTCTGGATGCTGGTCCTCAGCTCCTGCTGGCAGCAGGCAGCCTGGCTGCAGCCAGGAAAGGAGCCTGCTCCTGGCTCCTGGCTCTGCACTGCTCCTGCAGGGCCACCTTCCATGGACACGAAGCTGAGCAGAGCCAGATGACAAAAGATCACCATGGACAGCTGATGAACAGACTGACATGAGTTACCAAAGCAGATCTGAGCAAAGCACTCATCTAAGCTCCAGTCCACACTGAATTCTTATGCTAGCTAAAACAATGGAAGCTACTTGAATTATGTGTAGTGCTAATGAAATAAAATGAATTAACCAAATGATTTCAAGATCAATGGGCTCTTCCTCATAGTCTCAAAAACAAGAGAGGTTTCCAGAATGTGTGTTCTATTCCCACTGGTTTTAACACTGATTCACATTGCTCAGTAATTAAAATATATGGTAGGAATAATTTAATATTTAAAAGAACTGTATCAATAGACTAATATGAAACTTAAGCTAACTGCTAGTGAATATTCATCACCATTATCAAAAATACAAATGTATTGGACTGCAAAAGCAGATTCCTTTGTTAGCTCCCTATCTGCATCAGCAGCAGCTGACAAGATTTAATCCATTTGATCTATAGAAATATTGCTAAAATTAGTTCTAGGCAGCACTGAATCCACAGAACAAGATACAAGAATTCTAAAGAAAAACAAAGGAAAGTGAGCTACTAAACAAAAGACTGAGTGAATTTTCAGTTGCATGAAACAGCTGAATACCTGGGACTCCTTTCCCTTGCTCCAAAATGGGGACCCTAACATAAAGGTTTTACAAGCCTCCTCATCCAAAGCAAGAAGGAAATTCTGAAAAACAGCATCACCACCTGCAAAACACATGCTCTTTTCCTTCACAAACAATTTTTTCAGCTGCATAAATGTGCCCTCCAACAGGCACTTTCACTGCCTCTGTTACTTAGCATCTGTAAGCAGGATCAAAATTTTGACTTCCCTATTTCTGTTTGCCCCTCTGTGGGAGGGTAAGAATTGACTCAGGTTCATGTTGCTGCATTTAGAAATATTTGGGCCTCAAGAGGCAGAGCCCAGGCCCAGAGACAGCGGCAGGGGCTACACAGCAGGAGCAAGGAGGCTGAACAAACACAAATTAATTGATACCCTGGAGGCCACACAATGATTTCTGAATGGATAATGAAATGGGAAACCAATACCTTCCCAGATATCAAAGTATTTGGACCCAGGCTTCCACTTAATTAGCAACCTCCAGCAAGCAAAGTAAGACACACAAACGCTTTCACCAAGGACAAGATTATTATTCAGGTAGGTTTTCACCAGTAAGGAGCAGAATCGAATGCACCAACTCTAAATTAGTAGGAATAAATGGAGTTCCTGATATAACAATCTCTGATGAATACATTGCTGTAAGATCTCCAAACCCTGTTTGCAAGGACTACAAGAGAAGCAGGAAAAAATTACTAAATTTTGAATATTTTGAAAAAAAATTTAAAAATATGTAAAATAAAAAAGCAGTGTGTAAGAATGTTCAGCAAAGAACTGAAACACAAGAATGTTTATGTTACACAAACAACAGCTAGCAAACTATAAATAGAACTTATTTAACCAGCATTCTGCCGGTACAGAAACACACAAATATCAGTACGAGATCAATACTAGCAGAACTACTACAGCAACCTACACACACACACTGGAGGATTACTTGGCTAATATTCTTGTAAGAAAAATTATTTTTTTAATTAATAGTGAGATTGCTTGCATTTACTTTGAAGTGTTGGCTGAAAGAGGAATTTTGCAAGGAATACAGCAAAACCAAACAGGTGGAGACAGACTCTATACCTAAAGATACATCCACTGTTCTTGCCAACTGCTGAATTTTTTAACTCCTCTTCAATTTTTCTCATTTTTATTACCAACAGCCTGATTCCTTTCTGTGTTAACAGAAAAATGGTTTCCAAAACTCCATCTACTGATTACTAGGTAACTGCTGATCATGTTAAAATAAAGTAATATATCTTTCTCCTGAAAAAAATACTAAAGAAAAAACCCAGCTGTGAAGATTTTTCTGGATTAACCATTCTTTTTCCATTAGTCTATAAAATCATTCCAAGTGAGACTGAGAGTTTGTTTGTTACTGAAATTCACCATAACAACCTTCAATGGTCAAACTTTGACATGCACATTCAATTGCTCATACAATTGAAAAAGGGTAAAAATAACTACTCAAAGTTTCACCTTGTCTTGCTTAAGTAGTCAATAATTTGAATTACATGTTATATATAATTTACAAACATCACTGTACAGGTGAAGCTGATATAAGTTAACCCAGAAAGTATCACATTAATATATTCTGTCATGAATAAAAGGAAATTAGAAGGAAAACCAGAAAAAAAAATTTGTCATCACGTTTAGATTTTCAGTACTCTATGAAATATTCCACTAAGCTTTATAATATGCAGCATAAAAAGAAAAAGACTGCAAAGCAATTTTTGTCTGTCACGATGTACCAGAGCAGAGGACGCACAGGCCCCTCAAGGCCCATTCCAAACTCAAGGCAATGCTGGTTTGGATTCAGGAGGAACACGGTCAGGACAGAAGCTGCAGGGGCCCAGCTCTCACCCAGCAGCTTGGCAATGATGTACATGGCCTGGCCCCAAAGGAACAGCTTCCCATCCCGCCCGTTGTTACTGGGGAACCGCCGCTGGCTGCCCGGGCTCCTCTTCTCCAGCTCCACAAAGTCAGCAGGCACGTAGTAATACTTGGGGACAACAGGGCAGCCTGGGGACAGCAAGCACAGCCAGAGAGTAAGTATCACTGCCCTCACTTGATTGGAGTGTCCTAATAAAGCTGAAGTGGATCCAGACCAGGAAATACTGCACCCCAGTAACATTCTGAACAGAGACTGCCGTTCGTTGTTATCTCAGTGCCAGGGCAGTGTTAAACTATTTTGTATTTCAGCAGACATTTCCTCAGAATTTCTTCCCAGAACAGGTATGTTGTCTGTGCAGCACCTTCTGTGCAAACTAAAAATAACAGTAGTCACCTGGAGGAAAATGCAGTTCAGTTAAGAAGCCTTAACCAAAAGCCATGAAAGCTGGGTCCCAGTGAAACACTCAGGGTGTGGTGCCCCCCAGTTAACACAGGCTCAATATCAGACAACTCTTTCTAACTAAAATTCCTCCTCAAAAAGAGTCAACTTGGTTTTGGATAATTTTATTTATCAAATGTTTAAAATGTGCACTTGAATCTTGAAACATCATGAAACAAAATGGCATAACTTCTCTACTAGAAGATACATACCTTATATCTAGAATTATGCCCCAGGTATTGCTGATCATTGTAAACTTAATTTCAGAACTTTTTAAGTGGACATGCATCAGGAATTTAGAGACATGATTACAAATTACTGACCTAATTATAGGAAATTGAAAAGCAAATTAAGATGCTTCCTGCATAATTAAATTCCACCTTAATATTGCTCTACTCTTGAACTAACTTGGATGAAGAACAGGTGATAAACAGAATAAAGTTGTAGTGTCTTACTATTTGCCTAGAAAAAAACCCAAATTACTGGGAAGAAGCAGAGAAAAAATGGAAAAGCAACAGTTATTAGAGATATTAGGTTCAAATGAATAAGGCACCAAAACACGCCCAGAAATTTTAAAATGTGACATTTGTGATGACATGCAACAAAAGGAACCACAAGATTAATTTAGTGTCCATGAACCTTCACATACTCATTATTAATCAGAAAAAAGACACAACCAGCAAGAAAAAAATGCTACATAATACAAATTTGGTATGGGAATGTTTAACTGCCTTACAGAAATTAGTTCACTTCAAAAAGTTTAAAGAACAAGGCATATTCTGCAGGCACTTGTGTAACTGTACCACAGATGTAAGAACAGGTGACTAAAATGCTGAGTTTTAAAATTGGATTGTTCTGTTCTCAGGCCATTTCTTTTCCTCCTACTCAAACTTATGGCCTTTTTCTTTTTTTGACTGAATTTTGGATGGCTGTGCCTGTAGGCCACCACTAGCATTGTCTGCAGTAGCAAAAAAATTCTGAAGTTCCAAATTTAAATAAGAGCACATTTATAATAAATTGATTATGTAGCCACTTTCCCAGCTCTAAGCTAGAAGCGATTCCATATGCATATACCAAATTATTTTTTAAAGCCTGCAAAATTAAGTGACAATGAATGATGAGAGTAATTCTCAACTGAGTACAGGTGGGACATCAAAACAACCTGACTGCTGGTAGTGAATATTTGTTAATATTTGCCTGAAAAGTAGAAGTGAAACTTAGTAAACAATGAAGCAGAGGTGAAGAAGGAGAGGAACCAGTAGGCACAGTGTAAATCTTACTTTAAGATCGCATAAATTGTGATAATAAAAGTAACATTTTTCTGGAAAAATGTTACTTTTATTATCACAGTTTATGATGCAATGTATCTACAGAAAAGAGGTTATTTTAGAATTAGTATTTTTTCACCAGGAAAAAATGATGTTCTTACATCAAAAAAATGTTGATGTTCTTACATCTCATTTGCTCTGACCACAATATACATTAGGAAAGTAATTAATACATTAATAGGAATGTCAGGATTTTTACAATTTCAGGTCAATAAAAAGCTACAATTGTTTCAGAAGAACAATTTTCAGATAATACCTTCAGATGTATATTGAAGCAAAGGGTCCAAGAGATCCTGATACTCCTTTACTTGTGTAGGGTTTCCTCTAAAAATACCTAAAAATAACCAAAAAATAATTGATTCAATGGAAGAAATAATTTTTCCATGACCTCAAGGTTCATAAAAGAGAAAGAAAAAAAAAATCCAGTGTTTACTTTTCAAAACTAAATATTAAGTGCCTACACACTAAATAGATAATGAAAAAGAAAAGACTGAGCTGTAGATCAAAACAGTCAACTCCCTCATGCTGCTTTTGGGGAGACACAGGTATATGTAGCACTACCAGTCCTTTAAAAGTTGTTCTAGCAGAACTTTCCAAGACATATCTGATGAATATTAACATGAGTAATGTTCAGTTCATGGAAAGTTCTTAAATGAAAATATATATTAACAATAGAAAACCCATTTATGTTCATCAGAGAAAAAACTGATCTATTTGACAAGCAAGGTGATGTTTTAAAGTAGAATATTTTTTAATATTCAATAGGGAATGAGCTAGATGAAAACTTGGCATTATACATCTTATATTAATACACCCTTCTTCAACCACCAATTTTTTTTTCTTTCCATGACTCTTCAACACTCCATCCAAACCCAAAGCTTGACTAGTATTGCTCACCACATTTTCAAATCTTCCTGAGTACATATACAGAAATATTTACAGTTAAGAGACACAAATGCAATCAAAGTTTGCACACAAAGGTGCGTTTCAAGTGACACACTGAGCATTTCAAAACACTCAAGGATACTCCTGACATAGCAGCAACCTCTGCTCCTCCCACATCCTTAACTTCTTGCCATTGCTGTGTATACACTTCAGACTTTGCATTAAGGAAACTTGTGGATTTGGAGATATTTGCACAAAATCTACTAACAGAATTGTTCTATTTCCTAAAAGTGTGGTCCAGGCAAAAAGGACAAGGACAGTATGTGCACAGTATGTAATTTTTAGGGCTTTTTGGATACAAGAAGCATAAAATGCTTATTCTGTTCTTTTGTTAGCCTCAGTTGAAGATTACCATCTTTTTGTTCTCAAAACTGCAAGTGGGCAGCATTAAATGTCAGTGCTTTTCTCCTCAGTTTTGGGCCTCACTCTTTGAAAAATGTCAAACATTTCTTTAGAAATACCAGTTGTGAAACCTTATTATATCTTCAAACACAGTATTTTAATCTGTGGGTGGCCGCAGAGGAGTTGGGGCTGATGGCAGATTTCTGTGCCCCTCACTGTCTTTATCTGAAAACTATTCAATGTGCTACAGGAGAAAGAAAAGATGGACAGATTTTAATCCATTTAAAACTATTTTTGACAATTGTAACCCTACTCATGTCCTTATTCAGACTTCTGTTCTATGCAAGTTCTAGCTTCCATCCTGAGATCACCCCTTGAACTTTGGTGTGTCTCCTGTCCTCACATCAAGACTGAGGTAATGTCATTTTTGTTGGCTTTGTTTTGATTATTAAATTTTGTTTTATTATTGAATCAGACTGACCACGTGAAAAATCGTGGCTGGAAAGAAACAAAACCTTTCCTGGTTCCCCTTCCCTTCTGAATTCTGATTCAATTGCCACACAACGCTCAACTTGAGAAGCCCTGGTTCACACTGAGTGTGGCAGTTTATTCTCCCTCCCTTTTTTCTTTCCTGTGCTGCTGCTAAGTTCTGATACATCTGAAAGTTTTTCAGGCTTAAAAGGCAATGCAGGACAATGCCACAGACTGAGGCTTTTAACAAACCCTTACTAAGTTATATTCTAAAAAAAGTTCACATTAGAAATGCTGAAATATAGAGGGTTGAGATGCTTGGGGTTTTGTAACCCAGGAGGCAGACCTCTCAATGAGATATTTTGTGTCACTGCATTATGGTTTATTTTGGCAGGACAGAAAAATAATTTTGTATCTTTCCTCTAAAAGCTCATTTCTCTTACGCTTTTAAGGAACAGGAATGTAAAGCTATACTTACCATCAATTATCATGAAAATAAAAAAAAGAGGAAATTCACACTCAATGCCATCAAAAAGCTGCAAAGAAGAAAAATTCATCAGACGTTTCATAATTTTCATTTAAGTAAATATATATCTGAATAATCCTGCAGAGTAATTTCTTAGCAACAAAAGACAAACACAAATGCAAAAATATTTTAGCGAATTTAGTATCACTTAATTCTATGGGCACTTTAACTGTGCCTTTATATATGCTGTGGCTCATCCTCAAGCAGAATATTTAAATAATCTACTTTTCATTTTTCAGAGAGAAACTAAGGGGCAAAATATAAATTTTCATTTAGATAACCTTAACTGATAAATACTGTGATCAAAAGCAAAATTGTTTTCCACACACTCAGACTGTAGTCATCTGTGAAATTAAGTGAAATGATAAATAATTTCCTTATTTGTTATGTGAAATCAACTGTACCCTAAATGCAAATGAAAGCACATTCATTACAAAACAACCCAATGACTCAATGCTGACTTAGCAGACTCTGAAAACTGCACATGCAAATTACAGAAGGCATCTCCTTGCCTTGGAGGCTTTAGGAAGCCCAGTGCAATAGTGACTGCAGCAGCTGGAGGGGTGTCAGGGTGGGGCAGGGCTGTACCTTGATTTCTGCTGGTTTATAGTAACGCCGTGTCCTGTCCTCCAGCGCCGTCCTGTACCCGTCCCTCAGAAACCTCTTAAACCCATATTTGCCTTTCAACTTCCTAATAATTTTATCTAGTGTTTGACCAAACAGAACCTCATCATCCAAAGCAAACCCAGGATAACTAAGGCATGGCAGAAGAGCTGCATCAGTATTCTGTAGGAGAGGGAGAAATAGGACATTACAAATTTAATTAGATCCCTGACAACTATTTGATGCACAGACAGAGAGTGTTTAACTTACTAAGTGAAATATACATTTGGAACATTATCTTATCAAAATCATAGTCCTAATACAGGAAAATAGTGTGCAAAATAAGACTTCTTAGGAAGCATCAGGATAAACAACCAACCAAATGTGCAGATATACAATTTAAAAGATAACACATTTAACTCAGAATGTCACCTGTTTTGCAGCTGATAATATGCAGGCACAATTGAAAACATATAAAACTTTGTGCTTCAGGATTTTTTTGTGTGTTTTTAAAATACATTCTCCAGATTATTCCTGGAGGAAATTTGAGTGCTATATGCTCAAAAAGAAGCACATGTATTGCATAAAGGTGCAATGCTGAGAAGTACCCATTATTAATCATAATTTATGAACAGCTTTTTCAGAAATATTCTTAGGGCGATGGAACAAAAAAAGCCTATCTGATTTACAATTAGGAAGATAAGGGGATAATTCCAGGAAAAAATATGAAACCTTCTCAGGAACCATGTGGATCTCTTATGAATTAAAAACACTAGAAAAATTACTAACTAGTGCATCACCTCTACAGGTAAGCTTCCAGAAACACACAGAAAAGTATAATTTTTCTGCCGATATAGTCAAGATACTTAACTATTTAAAATTTCTACCAATATGACTGACACAAACCCAACATCAGTAGAAAACAACACAAAGATTTATATGGAATAAATTATAAAATCAGCTCCTGTTGGAATATTTCAAGTCTCCCGCAAATAACAAACAGCAAGAGTTCTAAAAGACCATTTGACTATAAAAAAAGTAGCTGACAGTGCCTTTTATTTTAATTATCCAGCAGTACAACTCAGCTATAATTCTTCTACACAATAAGTAAACTATTAATGTTTAAGATTAATAGCCTGTTTCATGAACAAAACTGCTATTATATTCCAGAATAAATAAAAAAGCAGAACCCTATTATCACTCATTTTAAATTACTGATTCCCTAACACCAAATTTACCTTTGATGCTAGGACTGAAATAGATGTTTTTTTAACTAATCTATATTTATGTCATTTAGATTTACTCACTAAGGAAATACATTTGTAACGGTAGTTTATAACAACAAGAAATTGTTCATATTCAGCACTTCATGATAAGCCAAGCTTAAAGGCTTTTTTTTCTAAACAAAAGAAAGAATTAAAGCTAAAACAAAGGGTTTCAAAAGTGCAGAGACAGTGTGTAGTGGAAACTAGGCCAAAAGAAAAACAAATCCCCAAAGCTGCAAATAAGTTATTTCAAATTTTATTTTAAAGTTGTCTGGAAAGCTAGCAAGAGGTTACCATTTTAATCTAAGTATTACAAAAAGAAAGAACACCATTGCAATTCCTGTTCAGAAAAACAACTACACCACAGTAACACTTAAAAAGCAAAAATGTAACACCTTCCCAGCAAATTTCACATTTATCAAGCAGATCAGAACATCTACAATACAACTAAGAACTCATATCCACTCGTTTCCTCCACACTCTGTTGAGGTGAACTTCTTTTAATGACTTACATGAGACCTTGACTCCCGGGGCAGCAAGGAGCACAGGGTTTGCCTGTTCCGGTTATGGGCATCAAAATCCACAAATATGACAGACCAAGAGCAGCCCTGTGAACACAATGTTGCATTTGTTTAAGGCAAAGGGAATAAGCTTAGTGCATCCTGCTGAAACTCACTGGTTCTGTGTTTAATTTAGTTATGCTGTCATTGTGTGGTAGCTGAAAATTTTAATCAGAAAACACAGCACATTATCAAGTCAAAAATATTTTGGTTTTTAAATATAATGAAGTCTAGCCAAAATTAGATGGCTTTTTCACTGATTAGTAATTATATGAATCATTCAAGCTATTAACTCTTCTATTAACACTTGAAAAATGAGGCCTGTATTAAGGACGAATAAAAAAGAGTAGTTGTTCTTCCCTGTGAACACAGGAAATGTTCAAAACAGTGATGCTGAATATTTCATTACAAGTCAGTTAGAATACAAACAATTGGATATTCAGCACAGGTACTGCTTTGGAAAAGGACCTTCATAGCAAATAAAAATGGCCTGCTTTTCAGTTATTGTAAGGTCTACATTATCAACATCCACTCCTTGGTAAAATCTACTTCCTAATAAATTCAGTAATTTTACACTATATTTCTCTGTCAACTTCTTGATACTTTCTGAAACACTAAAGAAAATTCCCCTGGCTGAGAGAGAGTTTAAACAGAATCAATAGCATTTAGAACTATTATCAGTAGGTAACTTCTTGCAAATTCAGCTTTGTTAATGAACAGATATCTCTATATATGTTGCAACTGATAATCTCAGGATCACTCCCCCACTGGAAGACACAGACATTGTGAATTCATTCCACTAATGGTCATAAATCCCAGAAATTTTCATAAATCCACCAAATTTCTCCTAAACAGCAGTCAGTTTCTTTGGTATACTACGTTCCTAGAAAGACTGCTCCAGAGCCCACCGTTCTAATGATTAAAAACTTTAATTTCCAGTGAAATTACTACATAAATAACTCACCATTCTTCTTTGTGTGCCAGTGTGCCTTGTGTGCCACTACCCACTGAGATGCTTCTCCAGAATTTTATTCTTACTTACACTTTACTGCACTCTAATTATATATAGTTATCCAAAAAATACACAGCTTTTGCTTTACTAGGGAGAACAAAACCCTAAACAATTTTTTCCACTGTCCTCATGGAAAACAATCTGAGTCATTCTAGCAAGATATACACTGACCAGTGCTGCAATAAGAATGTACACAAATGGTCACATTGACTTTGATTGTTTTAACTTTCTTCTTAATCCAGATTCTGATTATTCACAGTTCTCAAAACTCACCTACAAACTCTGAACACAACCTGCCTACACGTGCAGTTCCAAAGTCTATGCTGCAGGGAAGGATTCTCTGGGGATTCAGGGGCAGATTCATTTGCATTTTCTAAACCCACAAGCATCTTGTCTGACAAATGAAATATTTTTCACTTCTCTAAAGACTATAAGCTTCTGAAGTAAGAACACCTTACAGAGACTTGATTTATGAAAAAAAACAATTAAAATTGTTTTTGCTCAACCCAATAGAGGGCATGCAGCTCATACACAAACAACTCTGCCCAGGTCAGCCTTTAATGTGTTCCTCTTGCTGTGAGCACTGCTCCCCCAGCAGTGATTTCTGCAGGTTGTACCTGTGCAGCTGCAGGTACAAACAAGTCTCTAGAGGGGCTCAAGGGGATTTCTCAAAGCCATGGGAACACAGCTGGAGCTAAGCACAAAGGCAAACTCTGCACAGACTGAAGGTCAAAATGGGTTCTGTTAATGCCAACTACTGATCTTGGAAAGAAACTCACAAAGTATTTAAATGGGTCTTGCTTCAGCAATTTATTCATCCTTTTCAGAATTCAGAAAAAAAATTGAAAAAAACCTTAACAGCCACATTTACTGGTGCTTTAAACTGTTGGGAAGGTAAAAATTACAGATAAATGTTATTTCTGAAAGAATAACAATGAATGTACAATGTCTGATCATTACTGAACATCCTTACTACCTCCTAGTTCTGAACACGACATCAGCTTTTAAAATGTATGGCATCTCTCTTCCATAGATACATTTTCTAAACCATTAATTTGGAAGAGTACTCTTTTATTTCAGCTACAGACTACTCTAGGTATAGCACCAAAAAGAAAGATGCACATAGAAGGGGAATGAATACACAGCAGATAAAAAAGTCTCAGAAAAGGCTTGCTTCCCTAATTGAGCCAAGCCACATAAAGGATGAGAAAAGACTTTATAGATGTGCAACACACTGAAATTAAAAACAGTAAAAAAGTGGGATTATAGAAAAGCAGTTTGTTCAAAGTCTTCATCAAAAGCCACCTGAAGGAAGCAGACAAAAGGAAGGTAATGCTTGAAGGTGGAGGTATATTCTAGTGTCAGCAACAGATACAGTTCTGAAGGAAAAAAGTATTTTGGCAACAAAACTCTTTTTCAGACTAAGCTACAACCACTTTAGAATTTTTCTAAGGAAAAATCCCAAGATGTGATAGAAAGGGCACTAATAATTTTATCAGATAAATTCTGTACCTGAAACAGCAGCAACCAACTTTCTTTAAAGCTGAAATCTAAAAAACTGTGCTAGATACTTCTCAATATCCTCTGATCCACTCTGTAAATCATTATTCCTAACAAAAAAGGAGGGAAAATAAACACTTCTGTTACCTGATTTCCAAAGAGATTGAAACCATTAATTGCTTCTAAAGCTGCTTTGGCCAGTCCCACGGAGCTGAGGAGAAAGCAAAACAAAAACCCAGAGGTATCACAACTGAAGCCCAGGCTAAAATTTCACACACTTGACAGCTTTCAGTACCATGATCTTTTCTTGATTTGAATTTTATGCTTAACCTTTATGTTACTAAAATGATGATGCAGCAGATTTGGGGTTGTTTTGGTGGCAGTTTGTTTTTTTTTCTCTGAAATACCACTCAGCATTTTGTCTTCAAATGTCAGAGACCATCTCAATAGAGCTTCTGTTCTCACCTTGCTATCAGATATTGGCATTATGCATTTCAAGGCCTCGCTAATAACAGAGAGACAAAAGATTTAATTCAGCACAATTTTTCAAACCAGCTCTCAAGCATTAAACTTTAAAAGACTGATTTCTAGCTTTCAATATAATAAAAGAGCTCATCAATCTGAATTCACAACAGAAGGATTTTTGTATGTCAACCATATAGTGGCACATCCATCACAAAGAAAACATGACCCAGAAATTCCATCAACAAGACTTCAAGTTAGCACTCACATTTTAAGACACTATGGATTAAAATCACTAGTAATTATATAAGTTAATAATTAAAATTCTATATTAAAATTATTTATTAATCATTATGTAAATGCCACAGTACAAATAAAATATACATTTTAACAAAGTCTTTTCATTTAAAAAGTGTAGTTTTATATTTTCCTTGTGATTATTACAAAATAAAAGTGAAGAAGCATTCTTCTCCTTTCAGTTTCACTCCTCTCTTTTTCTCAGTTTGAAAGAACACATAATTATAGATAGGCCAACTTTACTTATGTCCATTCAACTGAGGTAAGGAACTAGAGCATTAACATACACATGAAACACCACATTCTTTGCATGTTGATTCCAAAATTCCAGACATTACGGTCACAGGGCACCTAAAAGTGAAATGTTAGAGGAGCTATTTCCCAACAGTGCCAGAGTTCACAAAGAAAGTGAAACAGCCCCAGGTTTGTGACACTTCTGTTGAATGCAAACACTCAGGTAGGGACAGGCCGTAGCTCTGCCTCTCAGTGGGGACAGACAAGTGCAGGGCTGGGAATACCCCAGAGGTCCAGCTCATTAAACACCTTTTACATTCTCTTAAGCAATCTGGTAAAACAGACTTGGAGCATCCACTGAAACAAAGCCTAGTTTACTCTGTTTATAAAATTAATTAATGAAACACTGAGTTATAATAAATATTCAGATAATAAGCACTAACAATTCCCCCACATCTATACAGAGGAGTTGTGACTGTGCTGACAAACAACTTCATCATCCAGTGCCCCACCAAAAAATTTATAGACATTAAATTGGCAGAAATCTGCAAACAGGGACTGTGCTTTAATCTTTATTTTTCTATACTCCATGCAGAATGCTGGCATAGAAGCAAACATTTTACCTTACTCTAAATAAACTGAATTTTACTATCTATTATTGTAAAATATGAAATTTCAAATGATTATTAACAAATCCATATTTTAAATATGGCGTCTAATTATGACTACACGGAAAATATTGAATAATTCAATGTAGTTACAGAATTTTGTTTTTTAAGTATTATTTTACCTGTGTTGGTTCTAATATTAGAAATACTTTAGACTGATTTCACACTTTATCATTTATAAACCCCCATACTCCTTTCTTAAATATTGCCAGAAATAATACTCCTGGGTTTCAATTCTAATTGTTCAACAAGAGAAGGCTGACCAGCTTAACCACAGCCTGCTCTGAGCAGCTGCCTCTGCTTGGTGTCTTCTGATGCTGAAAGCTTTTAGAGCTGGAGAATGAGAAGAAGAAATAAACTGACTCAGAAGAATTGGGAATGTAATTATTTTTCTGGCTTTGTTTCAAATACTTAAAACAAAAAAAGTAATTGTTCTAAAAATTGTTTTATTCTAATTATCACCTAGCTATTGATCAAATAAATCTGTATGATGACTCAGAACAGAACTTTTCAGAGGAATTCAGTGTTATCAAACTGCATATACAGAAGGTAAAAATCAGAGCAATCCTGCACACTGAAGGCTGTATAACATGTTAAAATCTCGTATTTTCTTTTCAAGTAACAGTCCTAATATCAACATGATATATTTTCAGAGTGAGAAAAAAGTTACTGCTAAAAGATAGAGAAGTAATAAATGTTCAATTGGTATTCAGATAACATAAAACTACTCCATCTGTCTACATAATAGGATGATACTGTTTGAATGAAATTCAAGGCAAACATGTATTCCTTCCTTGAAATCATCTCTACTTTGCAGACTCAATCATTATTCTACAGTAAGACTAATTTAGTAATTTACTGTAATTTATCAGCATTTTTCTACCTCTAGTTATTGAAAGCCCTTGGAGACTTCATTACTCTCACAATTATGTGCTAGTGACCATATAAACATCCCAACATTTTCAATCAGCACAAACACAAGTACTACTCAGATTATCCAAAGTTTTATGAGTAAATGACAGGAGGAAGTCCTTTAAAAGAAAAAAGAAGTCTGTGAAGAGCCTTTGCATCAAGTGTGCCTTTACAAGAGCAAACAATCACAGCACAGCACACTTCAGGACTGTGATCACACTTCACACTCGTTTCTTTCCTACTGATTAATGCCTTCCTGTTGGGAAAATTGCTAAAGAGGTTCTGTTATAAACATTATGCTTGTGTCTTTGTATAGAAAATACATTCCTCATACTCTACAATTTAGTAACAAAAGAAATTGTGTGTCTTAACAGAATTAATTAATGGCAAAATGTATTTTAATAAATGTGTTCCTTCTTCAACTCACTAAGCCACTATGAACAAACTGTACTGACCTGTGGGACTCTGTCTGGATAAAAAGGTGTTTACTAGGAGATGGGCCCAAAATAAAACCAAACCCTCTTAAAATATCCCTCTAAAAATTTCACAGGATCATGAAGTCATTGGCCAGAAGGGACATATGGAACTCATCTAGGCCAACACAAAACCTCACTTGAAGTCCAATATCAAACCAAGACCAATTTAAGTAAACCACAACCTATACTAGATGAGTCTCACAAATCTCCAAGAACGGAGATTCTGCTTTGAGCATTTTGCTCTTTCCTCCTCTGTGCTTCAAATGAAAAGGCTTTTTCTTAATGTCCCCACTGAACTTTACCAGGTGCAATCCTTAAACCTTATTGGAGCTGCCAATTATTTTAATGTGTCAAGGATTATCAAGAGCAGCCTTGCAAACATGATGCCATTGAGTAACATTTGACCTTGAGCCATATTTAGGGCAGGGGAAGATGAGACTAATCTAGAGAAACCACTTCCAGCTTGCTAAAAGAGATTTAGTGAACACACTTAAACAACATCCATAATTCTTATTAATTTTTAATTGTTGGATTCAACCCCTCAGTAAAATACCTAAGGGCAAATACTAAAATTTGCATATTTTTAGCAATTGTAAATCAAAATACACCTAGAAGTGTATCCACCCTTAATCCTCCTCCTGTTCAATTTCTTGCCTCCATCTGAATGCTCTGAATTTCAACTGGAACATCAAGCACCACAGAAGACGTGAAAAATAAGCAAATGAGAAAAAAAATTCTACATCACTAATAATTTTGTAAGTATATAAGCCAAAAAAGAACAAGGAAGGACAGCACTATAGCAATGTGCTATATACTCCAGAGGAGAACAAGACCCAGGCCCTGCAGCTCCAGATTTGGAATATGAGGATGCTGCACTTTGGCAATTTCCTAATTCTCAGGGTACATATGGGAGGTGTCAGAGGCACTTTGCACAGCGACTCAGCAGATGCCTGCAGAGCAGCTGCATCAAATGGCTACAGGACAAATTAATTTTTGTCAAGTTCAGCTGTATGGGAAGGGATCACACTACAATAAAAGCTGGTACAAATCTTGCCTTTGAACCAATAAAAGACATCAATTTGCATACATCAGTGAAGACGTGCTCCACAGAGTGTTCTGCTATTCATCATTTATCAGAAGTGTTTGGAGCTGTACTAAGAGAAAATACCGAGGCTGTGAAGGCTTAAAATATCTGCATCTTTTAACATGGGCCATAATGTGCAGCTATTATTCACACACTGTATAATATTTTCTTTGAACAGAAAGCCTCTTTCAATAAAATACAAGAATTACCTACTCATTCTGAAAGCAAACACAGCCTGTATGGAGACTTCCATCACAGACTTTAAGGGTCAGGAGTGCACCATCCTTAACACTGACCCTGAAGAGAGCACTTTGGGGCTCATAGAAGACCCACATACATAATTTGTGAGTAGACCTCATATTCATAATTGCTTCATCAATTTAAAACAAAAGGGGTTTTATAGCTCTCTTTGGTAGATACAATTGGAACATAAAGTATAAAGAATATTTCAGTGCAACCAGGGCTTTCCCCAATAATATCTAAAAATGTCTTTTGATGCATGTTGCCCTTCCATTTTTCCTGATTTATGAGACCCAGGGAAATTGCCTACCAGCTTTCTATAGTGAAGGAGAGTATCCACATGTACACAAAGAATGATAAATAGAGGCAATACTTGTTTCTGATGACCAAAGTCTACTTCTTGCATTAGGACCAAAATACGTGCTTCCCATTATGCTAGCTCAATGATCTGTTAGATTGGCCCAGTCCATCTCACAAAACTTTACACTTAGAAAAACCAACCTATAAATGTCATTCTAGATTAAGACAAAACAATATGCCCATTTCCATCTGTTTAAAAGATGCTCAGTTTTCCCTGAAGAAAATTCACATATTGAATAACCAGAATGCTGCAAACAGGAGACACTGGAGTTTCAGTGTTCCTTTTGCACATTTCTACAAGGTGAGATGTGGAAAGAAGCATTTGTTTCTTTATGTAGTCATGTAGCTCATGTAGTCTGGCATTTGACAATTTTACAGACACAGTAGGAGAAAAGAAAATCAGCAGTCATAAAGCAGATTATATAACAACTCGAATTTTGTTTGTTTGTTTTTGTTTTCATATTGATAAAAAGGTTCTATAAAAACCCTGGAAAAAAACCCTACATTAAGAGTATTGCTGTAAGGATACGTAATTATATCTATAGGTTAAAATATACATGCTTGCATGTGGGCTAAGAAAAATAATTCATTCTCAAAAGACAAGACAGTTTTCTTTGGCAATACTGAAGATTGTAAAAAATGTGTATTCCTTGCAAGCCCTTGATAATAAGGATGATCAATAATGTTTTTCAAATCCAAAGATATCCAACCTATATCCATTTTTATGATTAATAAAACCTCAGAAGTCAAAAAGTGAAGAAAACAATAGCAACACTAGGAAAATCAAGTTGTCAGATTACAGATTTGATCCTTCAAGGCAGAAAGCACATGAGTGATTTCACTGAGGTGAGCAGGACACCTGCAGCGTTAAAATGCTACCAGCATTGCTCCCTGTCCCTGACAGGGCTCAGAACTTGCAGCATCTGAAGAACCTGGAAAAGAGCTTGGCACTAGGCTGCTCTCCAGTGTACAGCACCTTCTTCCCACCATAGCATAGAAGAGAAAATCTAAACTCATGATTCTACACCTGTTTAAAGCAGGATATTCCTAACCAGTTTTTTGAATATGATTCCAATCCCATTGCACATGCCTCAAGACCCTGAGCTGTTCTGAGCACAAGTTTCAGAATTATATACATGCAGCTGCACATAATTATGGGAATTTGAATACTTAAACAGCTAAGCATCCATGTGGTTATTTCAGCATACATATCATGATGAAATTATCTTCACATTTTCCCAAAATACATCCCTCAGTCTTTAGAGAACCTAATTTAGTTCAAACGGTATTTTCATGCATTATTATTTTTAGCTCACCCCATTATGAATTCTTTTCAATCATTTACTTGCTTTGGCTAAAAGAGCTACATTTGCTCTCCTACCTTGAGTGCAGCTCTGGACTGCCATTGTTATATTTGCTGCCTCTTTCCCAGACACCAAAATCTGGTACCCGATAGGCTCTCTCCACACAAAACACCAGATTCTGGATGAAGGACACCTACAGGAAAGAAAAGTGAAGGAAATGAAGGCACATCTTTTCTGTTTTTTTTCCAAAAGACAAACTTGTTATTCCTGTAACTGTTCTTTCCATCCTTTTCTGTCTGATCTCAAAGGATGATGTTCCCAAGTTCAAATATTCTCTTTAAAACCAGTTTTTAATCACAATATGTTAAGAGCTGTCCCAACTGAGATGCCAATGTGAATTTATGCAGAAGTTGCAGCAAAGGCAGGGATAAAAATGATTTCATATTCAAGACACATATTTAAAGAGCTCCTAAAAGGTGATATTTTGATCTTTTCAAAAAAAATCATCCTAATAACATCAGAAACCAAAACAAAATTAGAACACAGAAATCCTGGTGCTTTTTCTTGATTCATTTTAAGAGAACTGATATGCCAAAGTTCTATTAAATAAGCTCTAGATAATATATATTTATGCAGATTCAAACACATTCCTTTATAAATACAAATAAAACACTAAACCAATTTATTATAATTAAAATCTCTTCTTGGACCAACACATTTCAACTGAATACCAAAGTACTGGAAGGGTATTTTAAGGTATTTAAGATGTATTCAACTATAGCTAGGAACTTATTTAAACAGATAATTTTTCCTGATTTACACTATTGAAAGAGACATTTGGAGTTGCTTGACTGTAGAAAAATGAAATTGAGCAAAAGTTTTATAGTTCACTTTAAAGAGTCCACAGGTTAGAACTTTTGAGAAAATGTAACCAGAAGCACAAGATTTACACTGGTTCATCTCCAAAGCAGGGATTTCATCCCCCCACATCCAAATTATTCTAGGGGTTTGTGGAAAAGAAAATACTGCAATGGCTATAAACCCAACCATACTGAAGAACTACAGAGAAGGATCCACTTTGCTAAAAAGTGTTTTGGTTTTTTTTTAATGAGCTATGTAGCAAAACCCAAATCTTTTACTGAAAGATTGTATACGTTTCTTCTGTCTTTTTTCTCCATTTCTCTTTAAATTTTAAAAATTTACTATTTCAGATTTACTCTTTATATTTTTTTATTTACTCTTTTAGCTGATACCAGTCCACCACCAATGTTATAATTCTAGACACACTTGTCTCTATTTAATGTCTCTGCTAAATTTCCCTATGAAGAATACAAGAAAACCCTATGTCACTTCAACTATGCCCAGTATATTCATTCATCCCTGCAATTTAGCATTTGGTTGTACTAAAATGGACTTTCCCTGAATGAAGCCAGAACACCCAAATATTAAGAGTGTAGCTTTTCCCATGTCTATCAATAACTGAAATTTATAGGAAGGAGCAAATAGCACCACGTAGAACATATAACCTTACGGATTACTTTTTACCAGTGATGATGTTTGGAACACAGGGCAAAAAATGGTCCATTACAGACATTTTCTGACATTACCTAGGGTTTCCAAACAGCAGATTTACATCAAAAAAGCCATCAAATAGCTTGTTGTAAACCAAATCTTCAGAGAACAAATTATTCATATAACAGGCATGTAAATGCTATAACCAGTATCAATGCCATGGCACTTACAGAAATTATGGGTTGTGCCTTAAACTTATTTATCCAAAACTGAGCATGTGGAGATGGAAGTGTAATAAAGAGTACACACCCAGCATGGATGCCTGCAAATACTCATGGTGCTGGATAATGTGTGGCTATCTGCTCTCATTCATACACTCACATAGTAATACACTGCTCTTTGCAGGGATGCAAAGATGCAATTAAATTAACTTTTCCACCGCCAACAGATGAAAGCAGATGGTAACTCACTGACAGAGTTACACCCATAGATTCTTGACACCCATAGAGTTACAGCTGCCACACCTGCCATGGAGGGGCAGCATTGCCCCTAAAACCAAGAGCTCTGTGCACAAACATTCCCACAGGCAGTCTGGAAAACAGCACCCATCTGCCAGCACCCAGCCCACTGCAGCCAGCCCTCTGCTGCCAGTCTCCTGCAGCCTGCAGCCAGTCTCCTGCAGCCAGCTCCCTGCACTCTGCAGCCTGCAGCCAGTCTCCTGCAGCAGCCCCTGCACCCTGCAGCCAGCCCCCTGCCTCCTGTGCTGCTCCTCCAAGGGGAAGGGCCTGAACCCCACCTGCCCTGGGGCATGGAGGAGGGACATCCAGCTGTGGGTTTGGGCAGCAGAGTGCCACATTGACACTGCCACCTCACCACTGCCACACCCAAGCCATGGCCACTGCCACCCGGCCACTGCCACATCCTCTGGACACACGGGAAACCTCAGACATTTGACCATCAGGTGGTGTTCAAAGATTCTGACAATTGCTGAAGCCACACACAGCTCAAAAGAAAGTGCAGGTCTGTGGTAAAAAAAACTGAGTATGAATCTCCACAGTGCAGAGATTTAGAGGGGACAAGGAAGAGGAGAATAACCACTGACTGGAGAGTCTATCAACATGCACTTTTTCTGCAGAATCTGTAATTAAATGCAAACATCTGGAGGATAACACAAATTATATATCAAGCAAACTAAATGCTTAATTATATACATTTGCCTCCTCACAGATATAAAGGCAGTTCAGAGGAAATAATATAGGCCTATCATATGGTCTAAGAAAGAAAGAAGACATGTTGCAAAATTTAGTTTTCTAATTATGTAAAAAAATAGATTACTGAATATATATGTTATAGGAAAATAATGCAAATTCACTATTACTGGAAAAATCTGTCTTTTTTTTTAATAGTAGTACTGCAAGAACATTTTTAAGGCAATACAGCAGCAACTATCAAACAGAACAGGGTAAATTTAAACAAATCCAGATTAAGAAAATTGGAGAAAAAAAGAATTAAAAAAGTATATACATCTGTGCTTTCCATTCCAGTTTCAAAACATAACCTCATTTTAGAGCAGGCCAGCAGGTTGTCCTGATATGACTTGTACTCAAGCCAAGGCTATTATTATCTTATTTACAGAAGAGTTAACACTCTCTACAAACATCTCTTACTATGATATAAAATTCTTTTATTTTCTATTAAAGATATAGCAAAAATTCTTAGCACCCACAGAATCATATGTGTTTGAAGAAAGCCCTGTGGCTTCCCTGAAAATTAACCCCATTCTTTATTATAATGAATTTTCATTGGACAGGATGAACTGAGAGTTTAAAATAATGTGAAAAGTGAGAACATAAGTAGGAGTTAATTAATTAATTAGTTAATTAAAAAGTTAATGTAAGTAGTAGTTAAAGGTTCTAACAGACCTTTTAATTCTTGACATTGCAGCTATCAGAAATAGCAGAGAACTAGAAAACTTTCAATGTTGTGTTACATCTACTCTTTGCACACCTAACATGTTTTTAGCTATTATTTCACTATCCATTCAATCCGTTAATTTTTTTGAAGTCCAACCAAAACAAAAAAAAACCAAAAGGGAATTTCAAAAAAAATAACTTGCAAGAAAAAAAGAAAAAAAAACCAAAAAAAAAACAAAAAAATTGAAACAAGGTTTAAGAAAAGAAAACAAATTGGAACCCAACCGGGGTGGAAAATAACCGCAACCCCCAAAAAAACAACCCAAACAAAGAAAAGAAAAAAAAAGAAAAAACAATGAACCAAAAGAAATAAAACACATAAAGGAAACTATAATTAACTTTATGTTTATTGGAGTCATGCAAAAAAAATAAATGTGATATAATTCACTAACAAAAATGATCCCACTATAAAAGACTTCTGCTTCTTAAAAATGCCTGGATCTAATGATGTGGAAACAATCAATAGGAAAAGGTGGCACAAACAAGCATTGTCCTCTAGAATTTCTGATGCTTTATAATCTTTTAATTTCAAATTGTGCTAAGAAAATGCTCTTCCTTATGCACACTGCTTTGACCCACAGGAAAACAAGCTGTTTTCATATATGTTACATATATGACACGTTTACATATATGATAACTCACTTTAGTGAGTAGGTTACCAGAAAGGCAAGCAGTATATTGAATGGTGCACAGCACACCTAGAAAGCAAATCACTTCTGCCCTGGTGGGAATTTTGGCATTATCAGCTGACAGGAGAATTACAACATTCAGATATGATCAGATATGTGAAAAACTATATTATTTAGTACCCATACACAGCATTTATTGTAAACAGTAATTATCTTCAGCAGCTGTACAGACGAGCATCATAATGTCAACTCAGGAATCAAAGGAAACTGCTGGTTTGATTTTTATTACAGAACTTTCCTACACTTGAGAATTTGTACAACTTCAATAGAGAAATTAAGTTTATCATAGTATGAGGCATGAAACCACAATCCCATTACATGAAATTTAAAGAAACCATCTAGAAGAAAAAAAAGTGATTCTTATCTGGAACATAGCAGATCAAAAATTAGGTCCAAATTCTAAAAATCCATAAATATTTAAAGACAATTGACTACGGTGTCTTAATACAAACTGAAAAGCACCAAATACAGCAATAAGGGCTACATAATATATTCAATGTTTCCCAGCTGAGCCCTCTCAGTTACTCTGTATTCATGTCTCCACAGAGCTGAAAACCCTCTAATTTTTGAGGTATGCAGATGACAGATGGGAATGTGCATTTGTGTTTATGGGAAGGGTTGAGCTGCCACAAAAAACAGACTTTAAACTGTCATACAATGTTCCCCAGGTTCCCAAATTGTCTCCTCTTATAGATAAAACATGTGCCTTCTCAGGAAATTTCACATAGTCCAAAATGCTAACTTAAGATAACTCCATAAAGCATTTTCCCCAGAACATGCATTTTCTGAATCCAACACATTTACTGTACAAACTATTTAAGTAATACTGTCACCATGAAATGAAATAATCATCAACCCACTGTGTCAGTTCTGAATAATTTGACTAGCAATTTCTGAGCTAAAAGATGTGTGCAGACTTATGGAATGCAAAATAACAAGATCATGAAAGCAAAGGTGGGTCTGAAAGTAAAGAGAATGGGAAATAAAAGGAGTAAAGATTAAAACTCTGGAAAATGAGAGACAATAAAACAATCAGTTATGCATAAGTCTGACTAGGAACCACTATGCAAAGCAGTGAACAGTTCCTAACTGTTGTCAGTGTACATTAAATGAAGGAAAATTGCTCCAAATTATGGAAAATTAAACTGAAAATATCCACCATAAGATTACACTAAATCTTTCACTTTCCTTACTACAACATTTTTTTGCCAGGATTATTTATTGACAGCCATCTGTTGGTTTCAAAAAGAAGCAACTTTGTAAACAACCAACCATCTACCTCTGCAATCTCAGTTATTTCAGTACCTTCTGACCAAAACATACCATTCAGTTATGTTTCGAAACACTCTGTCTTTTCAGCAGAAGATGAAAAAAGCAACTAACTCATTTTACAACACACAGCACATCTAACATAAATCTAACCAAACTGAGACAGCTGCATTATGGAAGAATGAAGACAATATTATTAAAAAATCAACCAAATTTAAATTTACAACAATATACATGTGTTACCTGAAGGTGACCATACTCCTCATGTGAAAAGACCTCATCTCCAGTCTGTGCACTGAACACAGAATGCAGACATGCAGATGGTTTGGGGTCTTGTTTAAATTTCTGAACCTAAAGATGAATGAAAGGCAAAACATAAAAGCAAAGGCAGTAATTTCACTATGTTTGGCAACCACAAATTCACCATATACCTTATTTTAAATTATTATAACTATTGTTATTATTACCAAACAAAAAAATTTCTTGATCTGACCACTATGTAAACCTTATAATTAAGCGTCTTCTCAGAACAATTAATTAACAAATAGCTGGTAATTAAATTAAATCAATCTGTAACTCTTCAAGTCATGCTTTCCTCTCCAACAAATTTCACAATTTTCTAATCATCATTGCCAGTACCTGATCCACATTTCACAGTGTTTTCAACACTGATGCTACTTTCATAAGATTTTCTTCTCTACCAATGAAACACAGCTCATGCCTCAGAACAAGCAAACAAGTACTATATTGTGGAATCTACTACACAAATACATTAAATATACTTCAGGTCATGATTAATATGTTAATTGGCAATAGAATGCAACAGCTGCATTTTTGCTAAAAGCAGCAGCATTTGCTCAAGTCACGCCTTAAGCAGATATAACTCATTACTAAAAAATATCTTTTACATGAGGCCACACAAAGTCTCTCAGAATAAAGTCCAGCTTGACTTCTGTCTGTTGGCTATCAGAAACTGTTTATTTCTACACTGTAGGAAAAGCATCTATAGAAAACAAAACCAGACAAGCAGTGTGCCAGCAGTGGGACACCTCTCTTAATTTAATGCTTGTTATTCTTATCTGGTACTCTTCATCCCCAAAACAAGCGACTGCACATCAAAGAGAAAAACAACAGCTCAAATGTAACAAGATTAATTTAGGTCAGGATCATCTAAAGATATGAGATCCACCCCCCAAGAAAATATAGGTCAGCATAGCTAAAAGTGGCAATACAATACTTGCTCATTGTTATTGTTACTGATACTACATACCTGTGGACTTCTCATTTCAGTTTGTGTGCTCAGCTGTGAGGGAAGCTATGAACTTTCATGAAAACTATTTCTAATAACAGTTAAAAATCAGTGAACTGAAACTTAAAGTAACCACATGGAATATAAGTATTTAACTACTTCTAGATCCACTGCTGACCACTATGCAAAATTTATCCACCACACCCAATTTTATTAAGAAGGCCTGAATATTCATAGTATATTCACAAGAGAATTAAGGGCTGAATAAATCAACTGTATTGCAACATAAGTAGACTGCTCTGTTTCCTTACTCATTTTGGAAATATGTGCCCATTTTGGAAATGAAGTTATGTCATTAAGTAAAATACTGCTGGAAAATGTCTGCTAAAGAAACCAAACAAAAAATCAAAATTATCATCTAGGTAAGGAGAACAACTGCAAACACAATAACCAAGGTAGCAGCGCAAAGAAAACTCTCCAGCCTTAACAAAAAGTAGTTCTACATATTTTCATTTAATCACTATAAAAAGACATAAAACCCCCCACAAGTACTAATGGTGTAATATTTAAATGGGACAAATAACTGCAAAATGAACACAAAGAAGTTTCAAGTGTACCCTGCACTTTCCTACCCAAAATGCTCACATCTTCTACTGCCTAAAACGATGCTGCAACAACAACGAAGCAGCTGTTCTGAGCTGGGGCACCCCAACACTGTGGATTTGATGTGTATTTAGGATTTGTTTCCCCAGGTTAATGAATCCCTGTGAGTGAGGCGAGTGCTGTGTCTGCAGCGCAGTTTTACCTTATCGGCCTGGCGCATGTAGCAGTAGAGAATTCCTCTCATGCACTTTATGGCAGAATGCTCCAGCTCATGGGTCCTTCCCTTGTCATCATCAATGCGCCTGGGTGAGAGAGATAACTCATAAAACAAATTGCAAATGCATTAGTGGGGGGAAGAAAAAAGAATTCATGCTTTGGAATATTAAGTATTTAACTAACGCTGTTGCATAGTGATGCCCTCACTCATATCAATATATTTACATCCCTAGTCATCATTTCTCATTAAAAATAATAAAAATAATAAAAGGGGTTTTGTCTGGCAACTTACACAAGCGTTCCTCTTTCAAAATTTAAGAATTTAAAAAAAAAAATTCTTTGTGATATTATAGCATCCAGTCTCTTGCAAATAAATTATTCTTAGGACCAGCAACAAGCCCACCAATGCCCTGAACTCTCCTACTAGATTTAAAAGTATCCCCTGAGTACAGTTTGCCAGAAGAACCTCTATTTTTAGTAGCATCCATTAATTCCACTGTAATAAATACTGGCACCAATTACATTATATGAAAACATGTTTACTTACCAAAAGTAGAGTGACATTTTTAACCTAGCACCTTCATAAATATTTTTACTGAGATTTGGAAATGCACCATTCTCTATGGGTTTACAAATCTATTTTTGATAAAGCTGCATCTTTTAAAACTTTCCCAGGGAACTGAATAAAAGAGGGAATGTATCCTGGCAGAGACACGAGTGTAGAAGTTATTCACCTGTAAGCAAGGGCCAATGCCCAGGCACAGGCAGCACAGTAAAGGCTATCATGGACTTTTGCCTTTTGGTTACTCCCAAAAGTCTTGGTAGGGAACAGACCTGTAGTCGGGCTTTGATGGACCAGCAATGTTGATTTAACTGGAAGAAAGAAAGAAAAGATTGTTAAGAACATTTATATTTCTTCCAGTTTCTAAATAGATTTTCAGGAACAGATCAAGGTGTAAACAACCTGTTAGAGCATTCAGAAGATAAAATAAGGGCAAGAAAGGTAAGAAAAAACATACACAAAATTCGTTACATTGTTTTATCAGACAAATTAGACCTTCTTACACAAAAACCCAGCAGCATTCAAAACTATTTCTATGACTCTGTTCTAGCACAACCCACTTTGTACAGAATTTCTACAAAGCAACCCAGTAATTTCCTTTCTATGAAAACAGAAGAAAAAAGTGACTACAGTATGTCAACTGTCCCCCAATCAGTTAAATGCTTAAACTCTCCAGAACCTTACATTCATAAAAATTACATTTTTAACTCAGGCCAGATGATTGTATAAGTATTTATATAAGTAGAGGGGAGTAAGGAGAAAGGACAACTACAATTATTTAACTCAGTATCTTGATATGAAAATAGATTAAGACAGGAATTTTCAGGTTGCCAAAACTGAGTTAGAAAAAATACTAAATATTACTTTATTTCTTTTTGTACTTCAATATTTTGCATTTTGGAAATTGCTTTTCCTAAGGTTATATAATAACTAGAATGCTACAAGATTGAAACTGGGCTTAATGCCCTGGAATATGACCTTTCTAGCAATAATCTCTTCAGCATAAGACAGGAAAGCAGGTTTTCCATAGATTGTTATCAAGCATCAATTTTAAGAAGGCCTCTTGATTGTCGATGTAGAATACTTAGTCTCGAAGTATTCTAAATGAAAATTACAAGGTTTTACAGCTTTTTACATTATATTCAGTGTCTTGATATCATATAACAAAAGCTTTGATAAAATATCACCTGAAAAAGTCAATATAGATTATTATAAATGAAGTATAAATTCAATAGTAGATTTTTACTGTGGCAGCAGCATAATTGCCTGAGATAAACAGCAAGCACCACCATGGATTTGTTGCTGCCAAGTGTTAAAAAAGCCAACTGAACAGTCATCTCCTCTGTAAGAAAGCTAAAAGCAATGCAGCTACAAAAAGCAACACAGCTATGGATAGATCAAGTACAGATTTCACTTCAAAAAGCCATTTGAACGAAGGGAATCCCATCCCACATTTTTAGAATGATGGGGAAATTGTTCACTATTCTGTACCCTTGCCTCAGTAAAACTTTAATTTTAAACCGTCAATTGCACAGCCATTAAACAGCCCTGATTTTAGAATACATGCAGGACTTCATTATACAAACCTCCTAAAACCCAAAACAATCAAAACAAAACATTGCTTCTTTAATGGTTTTGGCTTAAAATAACATCAAATGAAAAACACTACAGTTGACTTAGCTAACAAATAAAATTTCAGCACAAAAATACATTATGGCACCATTAATAACAAAAAGAACTTCTAACTGATCACCTGCCAGACTGTTCCAAGTACTACAAGAAAGCTTTTGTCCATTTAATTTTTTCCTCAGCTGTATCTAGTCAATGCTACAATCCTAAGCTACCCCTTCATCCAAAATACTTCTAAATTCAATTTTACAGCTGAACTGGATTTTAAACAGACATTTTGATTTACAGATAGAAATGTAACTCAGCCCTCCTCTTTGCACCTTCCAAACTTCCAGCAGAAGTTTAGGAAACTATCCTTAAGTATGAATAATGCAGAACTGATATTTATCATGCAAATATCAATTCTAACTAACATCTGGGTTAGTTCAAGCATTATTAACTTACCAATTCTATAGTAATGATTTAATTTATCCCACAGAGTTTCCCCCTCTGGCTTTGGAAGGTTAATACATTTAAGTGGCTCATAAATTGAACCTAAAATAAGAAGAAAAAAGAAAACAAAAATCAAGATCAAAATCAGTTTCATCATTGCAATAGTGCTAACAATTACTGTGTTAAGGTATTTCTTCATGTTTGTTATACAAAAACACAATTTATCAAATTTCAATTGAAGCAAAAAAGTTGCCATCTCTACAGTTTCAGAGAATTTTTTCTACAGTACCTGTCTATACAAACCAGACCTCCACCTGTATCTGCAGTGCCTTGTAGATATTCAACTAGAGCAAATGCTACATAAGTGTAGAGTTAATTATTGAAGACAACTATTAAATGTTAAGAGTTTCCTATGAACATTTTCTTAGAACCTAAGTATGTTACAGAGAAAATTCCAGAAGATATGCAGGAAAACAGAAGAGGGACAAAAGTAAACCATATTCAATTCTTACTGCCCTACCTGCCTCCTAAAATGGTGAAGATGTTCAACACTATCAGTGTTTCACCTACCCCAACCTCATCTGCACCCACCAGAGTCAGCCCAGCTGATGTCATGTCAGAATAAGGGTTGGCTTGTTCCCACAAGCTGCTAAAGCTTAAGCAAGTTGTTCAACAGATAAAGCCCTCAAGTTACCTACATTCCAGAGAAATACAATGCTATCAAATGTCCATCTTTCATTCTCACTGTCCCATGTATTGACTGCTTCTCTATTTGCACCTGAAAAGTCAGTTTTACTGAGAGCTGAAATGAGCTACCTATTCAAAATTATTGGGGTGAACCATTTCCATCTTCTAATTTCAGAGTAACATCCTGCTCTCCCCCACAAATCACTGAGGCTTTATTCAGTGTTCTGGACAGCAAGAACTCCATGAGAGCCATGTGCTAACAGGAAGAATGAGAATTTTCCTTTCTCAGCCTGCACCCTGCCCTTTGGAAAAGCTCAGGGAATGCAGTGCCATGGCAGCCCAACCAGCCAAGCAGTTCTGGCAGGACACAGTGAGTGCCTCTTTTCACAGAGCCTCTTTGGCAACCCCAGCACGCTCCCAAGCATCAGACTCGTAATTGTCCATATACAGGACTCTCAGCCCCATGAAATCAAGAAAACAAAATTAAAAAAAAGAAAAGTGTTCAAAAGCCAACTGGATGTGGGACTCAGTGCCCTGTCCAGTTGCCAAGATGGTGTTTGGTCAAATGTAGGACTTGATGACCTCAGAGGTCCTTTCCTATCTAATTGGTACGTGTGCAGAATGATGACAGAAGCTTTATGAATCAAGTCCTTAGGGGGAGAGAAGAAAATGTCTAGCCATTCAAGAATGCAAACCTCAGCCCGAGTTAGATTTGCTTTGCTAGCACAAGAGTGAAAAAAGTCCTACCCCTATCCAAGCAGAACTCTGGGTGCCTGCTCTGCTTGGATGTCCTGGTGATGCTTCCCAACCCATCTGAGCTTCTCCTACAGCCTTTCCTCATATGGGAAAGGGCCTGAAAGGGAAGTACTGAGAACCCAGTGTATTTGAATTGCCTAAAAAAACAAAGTCAAGAGAAATAAAATTGTTCTGTAATGGAAAAGAAAAACATGTAAGATATCACAGCTTTTGTATCTTCTATTAAAATAAATAAATAAATAAATAATGAACATTCTGAACCGATTTAAATCCATTTTTCAAAGCTATTTTGTTTTTCTACTTCTTTTAGCCTATGAATCCCTATCCATGAAATGTTATACAATTAATTCAGTTATCTTGCAAAAGCACACAATACAGTGAGCTGCAGTAACTGTAATTTTGTACAGTGTTGTACTGAAAGGACAGAATACACAACAGAAAAAAATCTTCAGGAAGTCATTGCATAAAAGGCAGCAATTTTATGAGAAATTCACATACCACATTTTTCAAAGGCAAAATAATGATTCTAACTCCTAGATTAGCTAACTGAATATCATATGCATATCCACCATCCTTTGTGTGTGAAACAGGTTCAGAATGTCCACTTCCTGCAGGCTGCTAACCCCAGTGTGGCACCAGGACACACACACAGAGCATCCACAGGCTCATACACACAGGTCAAAAGTTCCTGAACTAAAATTGTTTTAATTCAAATACTCACCAGACAATCTGTGACCCTCTGTGGCCAACAGAGAAACAAAACAAAGGTATCAAGAACAAAAAGCAGGCATATTCTTCTAGTTCAGAGCATTCAAAGACTTCAACTTAGTGCAGAAAGAAGAACAGGAAGCATGAAAATGTCAAACACCACCCCAAATTACATTATTCTAGATGTTTGAAACTTTAATAGAAATATAGTAAAACAGAGTAGACTGCTGATGGAACAGAAACGTGAAATGAATTCAAAGTTTGAAAAACTGACAAAAAATAGTTCTATGCTTCTGAAATGTTCCCTAAAATTACTCCTACTATAAGGAGAACTTGTTTAAATCAAAGTTTTCCACATATTTTTCATTAACTCCTTATTAGCATCTATATAGTTTATGTTTTGCTTGGGTGTCTACAGCATCCTCCTGGAGAAATCATGTGGTAAATTACATTCATTATTATCACAACCTAATCAAAGCAAGGAACAGTCAGGACAAACACGAAGCTGCTCCTTCCTTGAGATTTTGGAGAGAGCCCATAACACAGAGGAAGCTATTTTAAGGATGGCTAAAAAAAATGCCAGTCTACAGCCTCAACCAAAATCTATTTGAGTTCATTTCAGTAAGATAGAAACCTGTCATAGAAAGCTATTTTCAATTATATATTTCAAATCAGTTTTCAAACTAAAAAAATAAACATTTTAAAGAGATGACAACAGCAAGACTGCAGCACTCTAAACATAATAGAGTGACATTTGCAAATGGGACCCTGGAGGTCTCGCTTTGTACAGCAGCATTCAGAAGAAACAGAATGAGGACATTAATTTTAAATACTGTTTTTCATAAATACATCACTTTATTATAACCTTACAGTGTGAGTTTTATTTTAGGCAAATATGTAGGTATGCTAGGAAGAACATAAAAACCTGTTTTGTTGATTTACTATTTCTTCTGCTGCCTAGTGGTGTAACAACCCCATCCAACATTTAAATAGGGTATTTGGGAGTTCGGTTTTTGTTCCTACAAAGAATGAAGTGTGCCCATTATTTCCTTACACCACAAGTGCATTGCTGCAGGGAGTACCTACTTCAAAATCAGTAAAAAACTGATAAAAATCACAGTGTCACTTCCTGTGTTCATATAATTAATGTCTGATAAGAGAACACTCAAAGGAAAAATAATCCCCTTTCATTTCCTACCATTTACAGGTCCCACAGTAACATGATTTCACCATTTTTTAAGTCGAATAATCACTAAAAATGATAGAGATTCCCTTCAAAGTAATAGAGAACAGGAAGAAATGCCGACCCTATGTATATACAACCTCTAGATACTGAAAATACTGTGTCATCCCGATGCTACTTTCCCATCCACTTTATTTTTATTCAAGTAATACCTGAGATTAACCTTAACTGCTCTTCAGGGAAGAGATATGAATTGTCCAAATGTTTGGATTCAGAAGCTATGGCCAAAATGGCTTTAAAACAACTCTGCTCCCCAGTTTGTATATATGGAAGCTTTGGACACACACACATCCTTGAAGATGGCAGTAATTGTGGATATTAAAGAAAAATAGGGATTAGAATGGAATTGTGTACCAAGTCTATGGATAAAGACTTGCATATTTCAACAAGGACAGCTTATTCAAATCTTTCAAAGTACAGAATTAATATAAACAAACACTTCCACAAAGTTAATCCCAAACAAATGGAAGCAACATGGCAAGAAATTTATTTCTAATATTTCACATGCCAGAATAACAAAAGAAAACATTGGTTTGTATAATTAAATCAGGCCAGGCCAAAATAAAAAAGCTGAGAACACAAGATTTCTTTGTAGATTTGATAAGAATTGAAACTGATCACAGCCTCTGATGTGACATTAGGTCTGGACATAATCAAACACTTGAGACAGAGGCAAGCCCTGGACCTCAGATCACTGTAACTTTCATTACTCAGCATTCGTAAGGGCAGTGGCAGCTTCACATTACAGAAGTCACTGGGACCAAAGAGGATTTTATTTCTACTCACAGCAAAGTTTAAGAAATGATATCACAAGGGGATATTTAATCACTACATACAGGAGGAAACTATGATCTCATAGTTGATCCTGCTTTGAGCAAAAGGCTGACAACCCTTCCAGACTTAACTGTTCAACAAAACAGGGTAAAGAAACACAAGGAGAAGGGCTTGGAAAGGCAGACAGAAAAGGTATTGAAGTATTCCTCTACCTGAATACACAGCAGAAGTAAGCAAAAAGTATGAATTGTTACCCTGGTTGAGTGACAATAACAAATGGGTAAAAATGAGTAAAATCTTGTAATAGTTTAATTTCAATAGCATTAAAGTGACAAAGCTTTTAAACTATCATTTATCAAGAAAAATCACGTGTTACACTGTGCAAGTAATTCAGCTAGTATTTCATAGAGTCACAGAACATCCTGAATAGTAAGGGACCCACAAGGATTGTCGAGGTTCAGCTCCTGGCCCTGCCCAGAATGGCACCCAGTGTCTGAGAGCATTGTCCAAACTCTTCCTGAGCTCTGTCAGGTTTGGTGCTGTGCCCACTGTCCTGGGGAACCTGTTCCAGTGCCCAACCACTCTCTGGGTGAAGAACCTTTTTCCTGGTATCCAACCTAAACCTCCCCTGACACAGCTCCAACCATTTCTTCAGGGCCTGTCACTAGTCACCACAGAGGAAAAAGAAAAAAATACCCAGCAATTTATTCTGTCCTTTCTCCATTTTCTAATCATCTGAAGGTAGCTCTCTATCCTGTATATTATACTTAATGGAAACCACTGATTTTAGGATTTACAGTAACTAACAACACAAACAACAAAAGCTACTGAACACCAGAAATAAAATACTGACCATCATGCCAGTACACAGGAGCTTCACATAACCAAAATGCCCAAGTCTACCACACAAGCCTTGTAAACGCTACAAGCAAGGCAGGAAACCACTCAGGATACTCAAGGCAGGCATTGCCATTTCTGAGAATTCAAAACAATAGGTGTTAAACTACTAAAAATATTTATTTTGCATCATAACAAGAGAAACATCAGATATCTATATAAGAATTAGGAAATAGTTGGTTTTTTGGGGGTTTTTTTTATGCTGTCAACACATCACATTTTTGATGGTCAGAGAGGCAAAACTGAAAACCCACAGGAAGGGCAGGGGAGTCCAAGCCACTCAGTTGTGTCCCCTTACCTGGTCACTCTCACCAGCACTTGTACTGCTATTGTGTTTCAACAAGGACTACACAAGAGTTCTCCCCCATCACAGGGTGTCACATATGGATACATCTCACCCCAGTCACACTCCCTTCAAAACACACAGGAATGCTCTTGACAGCTTCATATATTTCAGCTTCTGTTGTACCTGAGAAGAAGCTGTGCCAAGGGGCTTTACTTTGCTTCCACTTAATTTCCAAATGTCCAACTTTGTAACCAGTGACGGACTAACCAGAAATTTTACTTATCTCGAAACCAGTCACACTGGGGTTTTTTAGGAGTCAATTACAAACAGCATTCATAATGCACATTTCACATGACTGTCATCTTAAAAGAGAAAATTGAGTTCAGAGATGGTTGCACTGAGGGATACTGACAGGAACTCTAAACAAACAAAACATGGAGATTTGATAGTAGATTTCAGTCTAAGTACATTACAATTTTCAGAAATTTTTACTGAAAGACTTCAAATTTTTAAGTTCTGCTGTACAGTGCTAAAAACTACTAACAGAGAACACTGTATGAAACAAAATACAATTATTTTATGTTGAATTAAATAGCCACATACAAAAACAAAACACATAACTGCACACTTACCAAATTCTAAAAAAGCACGCGCAGAGGAGGCTCTGTCATCATCCAAACTGGCCATTTCAAATTGGTGCAGCTAATCACAAACGTCTCAGGCTAAGCTACAGTAATTTTCAAAACTGTTTAGTAAATGTTAAAGGCAATCAGCATTAAATTAAGTGAAAGCAATGTTAGTGGAGTTATTAACACAACAGAGTGCACAACACAAACTTTCATTACGTATGTTTCCTTCTTCTACACTGACCTCTTGGTCTTATTTTGCTTTTACTTCTATGAAACTTTGTCATTTACTCCATCTGAGTGAAAGGACACAGTTTATAAAAAAAAAAAAAAAATCCCATCTTTTGGATATTTGACATGAGCTTTGATATATATTTCAAGATAAAATAAAAATACTGATTTAACTAGTGCACACTAATGTGTTAAGTAACAATGATAAGGAGCTAAAACTCTGCTTATGCTTACTGCTGCTTCCATCCCATGTGAAATCCACACCAGCATGTTTCTTGCAGTCATATACATTACTTATGGCACTGAATATCTCAGTTATTAAAGGTATGTCATCTTCCACTTTGGAATATACAATAGGAAAAACGTGTCCGTAATTATGATGACAAGTTTTTCAAATCTTTAAAGTTCATCTTTTTTAAAGTAAGAAAAATTCAGGGGCTTTTAACTAATGAACTGCTATCTTTAGAATCTGCTCATAATCAGAGTAGCGACAAATGAAATAGTATTTTATTGCTTCAGGAAGGGAAACAAAAACTTCTGAATAAAATTTGGTTTTACTGGAAAAAAAAGTAATTCATAATTTATTACACATAAACATGAGGACACAAATTCCCTCCTACAGGATTTGAGTCTTACATGATCCATTGCTGCAGGCTATAAAACATGAGTCACTGCAGCATTTCAGGCACGTGTGTCTATACTCAGCGTTTACTACATCTTACTCCAAGAAGCACACTAGTGCCTCAATCCAAACAAAACAGTGCTTTCTGTGAGCTGGGACTCCAGCACACGCCTCAGCCAAAAAAAAACCTCAAACCAAAGAAAATAGTGCTTTCTGTGAGTTGAGACTCCAGCATAGGCCTCAGCCAAAAAAAAAAAAAAAAAAACAAACTCAAACCAAAAAACCTCAAACCAAACAAAATAGTGCTTTCTGTGAGCTGGGACTCCAGCAGAAGCCTCACCCAAACCAGAAATGTGGGGGACTTTCAGTGACTTTCTCTGATAATCCCAATCATGTCTCCTTCTGACAGGGCCAGGAAGGAAGTAAAAAAGCCCTGAAGTTATACAAATTTCAACATAAAGACACGACAGTAAACTTAAAATATAAGAACATTATTTTTATTTTTAGATATGAATGTTACCTGAAAGATATAAAATAAAATTTGATTTTTAAATCAACTCTTTAATCCAAAAAACTTTTCAACTAAAATAATGTTTATTTCTTGAGCAAATTTCTTCAGGTGCTATACAAAATGCCATGAACAAATCCCTAGATAATCTCTGAACGAAATCTGTATGAACTCGGAAAGATGGAAGCGAACTACAGTCCGTCATTGCTAAAAATACAATTCTTTATACATGTAACAAAAAAGAAATTTTGTAACAGGCACCAAAAATAAGGAAAAAAAAAGAAAAAAAAAAAGTAGCAGGCAGCAGGAGTCAAGAAAAAGTGAAGTGTTTCTGCAGCCACAGGCCTGACCCTGCAGGGCATTCCCAGAGCCCGTGCGCTGCCCCGGGCTCGGCATTCTCACAGCCCCGGCTCCGCGGAGCGCTCGGCTCCGTCCGTCAGTCCCCGGGAGCACACTGACAGCTCCTCAGCGCGGGATTGCCAATCCATCTGCACACACACTGAACCGTTACAGCCAAATTCATCGGACTAGACTTTAAACAATCAATTCTTTAGAGCCCTCATGAAGCCCCGTTTTGGACTCACACTGATTGATCAGTTACTAGCACAACAAACACAACCAAACACGCAAATAAGTAACAACTGTTACAAGCATGTATGGTGTATAAATAAACACAGGGATCTTCTGGAAAACTTTTTCCCGTTAGAACAACTAAACGCCTGGTATGAGTGCATTTTACTTAAAAAAAAAAAAAATCAAACTCCTAGTTTTTTGAAGTTCAGAAATTCAGGCTAACTTGGCAAACATCACCCTTTGGTTTAGGCCAGAACTTAGCTGCCCCACGCTCAGAACACGAACTTCCCTCGCTGTAAAACAGCTACCTTTACCTAAGAGAAACCTTAGGAGCTGGTACTTTCCTCTAAACCCTTTGGAGCTGCGGTGCTGAACACGCCACGAGCAGCCGCCTGCGCTCCCGCGGCACAGGGGGCAGCTGAGCGCCCTGGGGCCGTGCCCGCCACCGCCGCGTGCCCCCTGCGCCCCTCGGGGCCGGGCCCGCCCGGGCACCGCCACCCGCGAGAGACGCGGCGGGGCCGGGAAACAGCCCCGGGCCGGGAGCGGGGCGGGGAGTGGCGGGAGGCACGGGGATCCCCGGAGCTCCTCCCGGGCAAGCCAAGAGGTCAGACCTGAGCGTTTGGAGCGAGCGCGCAGCTCCAGCATCTTCCAGCTCACGTCAGCCATGTGAGTCGCCGCCATGGCGGAGCGGTCGCGGAGAGCCGCCGGCGGGGCTGCGCGGCAGCGGGCGGGCCCTGCCTGCCTCCCGCCGTAAAGCGCCCGCGCAGGCTCCGCCGCCGCTGCCGCAAACCGCGGCCGGCGGGGCCGGGCCCGCCCGCTGCCGTCAGAGCGCGGGCGGGGCGAGGCCGTGCGTGATGGGGGCCCGCGGGCCGTGCCCGCCGCTGGCCCCGCTGCTGGCCCTGCTGGCCCTGGCGGGGCCCGCCCGAGCGCTGCAGAACGTGACCGCTCAGCTCTTCGGGCCCGAGGCCCGCGGGACCCTGGCGGCCTTCGGCGACTTCAACTCGGACAAGCAGACGGACCTGTTCGTGCTGCGCGGCGGTGAGTGCGCGGCCGGGCCGGCGGCAGGCGCGGGGCTGCGGGGCACGGGCGGTGTCAGCCGGGCCCCTCACGGCCAAGCGGGGACAGCCCCGCGCGGGGAGACGGCGGGGCTGGGGCTCCGGGACACGCTGCTCCCGCGGTCCCCGCGATCTCTGCCGCGCCGCCTGCTCGCTCTCCCCCAGCGCGCCCTGAGCGCCCCGGCTGTGTCGCCGAGGGCCGGCGTGGTGAGCACAGCGTCGTTTGCAGGGTGGAACTGACACTTGCTTTGCTCCCAGGTATTCCTGTGTGGAATACGGTATTCAGTTTGCACTGGAATGGTTCATATAAGGCGCATTTTTTTTTTTTAAAGTTGAATTTATGGTTGTGAAATAGAGACTTCATCCTACAACTTGAATGGTCACAAATTATTTTGCTCCTGCTTTCACAATATTTTGGGAAACAAAGGTGGACATTTCACAGATGTGGAGGAAAAATTGCACGTTATCCTACTTTGAGCATTATGTTAAAATGTCAGGGTAAATAAATTTGTTACAGCTGTCACTTGCCACAAGTTTCTCTTAAGGCTTCAGATATGGGGAGACCTCAAATCAGGGCTTATTTTCAGTGGTCAATGTTATTTGCAGACATCAATATTGGAATATTTTACTTTCTTGAAACACATTAAGAAAGTAAATTTATTCTTAGATTTACCTTTTTTTTTTATTCTTTCCATCTCAGAAATGTTTTTCTAAGTAGCTTTGGTAAAGCATGAGTGACTTTCCCATCTAGTTGAGTTATTGAAATGCATGGCTCCCTGCAAATGCACCACTGGCTCATCTACTGAAAAAATGGGCAGATTTAAATGAATGTCTATGATAAGAGTTGTAATTTTTACTTTCTTATCTTTCAGATGAGTGCATATAAAAATGTGAATAGCTACAAGTTTCAGAAATGAGATTCGTGATTTCTTTATGTCTCTATAGCAGCACTTGATAAATCATTTTCCTGTGTGGTACTTATTGTAAAAATCAGAAATCACATGGTCTGAAACATTATTTTTCGTAACTTAAGTGTTGGTGAAAATTAACTACAGAATACTCTCAAAACAAAAGGTAGTAGTTCTAAATGGTGGGATTAATGACAGCCAATTGAAACAGCGTGAGGAAATGAGCAATGGAGATGACACGAGACTTTGAGGAACAGGAATCTGTAAAGCAGCCCAGTCCTAATAATCCTGACCCTTAATAAAGAAATGGGGATGATGTCTTGGACCTTGGGCTGGATATATATTATTTTTCTGATCTTGCATTACTTCAGTAGAGTGAGACTAATGTTCCATATGCTCAGATGCATAAGAGAAAATCAGATTGTGCTCATATCTTTGTAAGAAATAGTAAACTCACTGAATGTAAGGGATAATCCAGATCCAGAAATATCCTGTTGCAAGACCAGTTCCAAAGTACCAGTGGACTCTGGGTTTAGTCACTTTTTGAAACTCAGAATCTACAAATGAATGGAATTGTGCATCCAGTTAGCTGTTTTGTGAGTCTCTGCATGTAACAGTTCAGTGGGGAAGCTCGTGCTGGTTGCTTGTTTCATGTACCAGCTTCTGGTTATGCTTGATGCTTCTGCTGGAAGTACAGGCAGTGAGTGAAGATTCCCATGTTCACCTGCTGCATTTCATTGGAGAATCTGGGAAACTTCTGTGTTTATTTCATGCATACATATATGTGTGTGTATGTGATATATGTCACACAGATAGCCTGAAGACCTCCAATCTACATAATTGTTGTTTGTATGGAAATTTTCCTGGTTTTTCACACCCTCCAATGCACTGTTTTTTTCTTACTGTTGTCTTATCTCAAAAAGAATAGAGAACTGCAAACAACATTTAGGATTGATTGTAGTGGCATGGTAATGCTGTTTTCTGTTAATGTAGTAATTTTTAATAGTTAATTTGAGTATTGATGAGCAGTGAGCTGAAATTTTTATATCTCTAATGACCAAAAGATCTCACTTCTCAGCGTTGCTACTAACTTGGAACCTGGTATGTGTAAAAACACATTTGCTTCTTCATCCTGGTCATGACTTTACCAAATAGCCAATAAAAAGGCAGGTGAAAGTGTGAGGTGTGAAATGGGAGTTCAGATTCAGCAGGTGTGAACTGTGCTGTTCCCAGATGTGCTGCTCCAAGCTGAGGCAGCCCCAGGCTCCTGTGCCAGGCCTTTCCCTCATCCAGGAACGTGTGCTGCAGCTCAGGCAGTGTTACCCTGGGCCTGTGCTGGCCTCTGAAAGGGCTCCTGGTCATTAAGTCATTTGGTGGTGGATTCTCATTCTCCTCAAGAGGTTTGTGGCAGGTGCCTTTTGTTTCCTAGTGAGAAGCCTTGTATTCTCTAGCATGTCACAGCTGTGAACTCTGCCATGAAACAGTGCTCTTAAAAAGTACTGTAGTAGCTCAGGTTTGGAGCCTTAGAATTATTCTTTTTCAGAGAATGATTTTGTGGTGCTGCAGCTGGGTTTATTGGAGAATGAAAGAAAAAAATACAATTATTGCACTGTGAGCTATGTTTTACTTACAGAGGTATGTGTGTATTGTGGTTTACTGACTGAAAATTTTATTTCATCACTGAGGCTAAAATTCTTTTCTTCCCTGAATTTCAGTTATTTCTGCAATATAAAATATGGGCTTTTATTTACATTGTCCTGAAATAATGAAATTATGCTTGTATCATTGCCTCTAAATGAGGAGACACTGCAGGGAACCAAACAAATTCTGAGTTTCCTTTAAAGTGCTTTGGGCAGCTGACATGGAAAGCAGTATAAGATCCTTCTATGTGAGACAGAGTATTAAAAGAATTAATTTGAGTTAGTTTTTAAACTTTAATTAGTTTTGTGGAACTGCTGCCTATTACTTTTCCATGTATAATATTTCTTAATTCATTACAAAAAGTTTTATTTTAAGCAATGTGATAAAAATAACAGAGAGAAAATTCTAACACTAAACCCCCAAAGAAGATTAGTAATATTAGCATTCCTTTGAGATGCAACTGACTTTGTGTTGAAGAAGTGCTCCTTTGCCTCCTTTTGAATGAGGGGGAAATAGTGGTATGAGACATCTTTGAAAGTTTTTTGCTGCTGTGGGGAATGGTCATTTGTGGCAGTTGTTTGAACGTTGGGTTTGTATATAAGCTATTTCCAGTCTTCCCTCTGTTGCTCATGGTCTTGCTTGCCTTGGCAGGAAATGAGTTGGTGATCTTTTTGGCTGACCAGAAGGAACCCTACTTTAAGCCCCGTGTTAAGCTACCAATGAAGTAAGTATGGCTGTTCAGTGCTGCCACAGCCTGTTTGCCTTGGAAGGGCCTCTCTGCACTCAGTGGGAGCTGCCTGCAATTGTCTGTGCCCTTGTTACTTGACTTGTTCATCTTGCCCTTACAGTTCTTTGACCAACTTCCTGATCCGTGTCCCGATACATTTTTGTTTTGTTGGTCAGATGACAGAGTCTATAGAGATGAGTTGTGTCATTCATGTTGTTTACTAATAAGTGTTACTTCACACCCCTTATGGAATACTTATGGTTTAGGTTTTGTCCTCAAATCAGTATTTACAATACCCATATGTTGAGGTATTTTTGCACTTGATTTGGATCTTCAGGACTGTATATCCTAGTGAAGAAAACTGTCATTCCATAGCATACATAGGTATTTGTGGTGGGTGGGTTTAGGATCGATCCCAAGACATGTTTTCAGGGAAATTCATCCATTTGCTGTGGTTACTAATGGAATCCAGCCAAAATAATCTGATTTGGAAGAGATCTGAAAGATGGTGTTCTGGTGTTTCTATGTAGAGATGTTCCTTTACAAGTTTACATGTGGCCTTTAAAAAACATCAGTTTTTAATACCTGTAAACCAATCTGTTTATATGTGCATATATATGTCTAGCTTTAATATCCTGTAATACTATTATGGTGATTGCTTATGAATAATGCTTACCAATAGTATTATGTTTATGAAAAGTTAAATTGCTTTTATAGCTCAGCTTCATCTTCTGTATTCTACATATTTTTATCTTTCCATATTCCCTCCTGTCTGGGAAGAAACTAATTTCTTTAGTGCATTAGAAAGGATCTGCTTTTAATCCTTAATGTGATCTGTGTTTGTGTGTGTAAAGCAGAATCTGAGTAGGTAAGCGAACAAAAAAAGATAGAACAAACAAAGGTAGGAAGGAGTAGTAAAACCTAGTAGAAGGTAGGAGGAAATGGCATTGTCTTTTTAAAAATCTACCTGTGCCCGACTCCTGCTGTTTTTAAACAGCTCCTGTTGCCTTATGTTCTTGCTCCTGGAATGCAACCAAAAGATCCTGCTCACTGTAACACATTTTGGTTGACTGGTTCTACAACAAATGTGAGGATTTAATGAAGTGCAGAT